AACAGAATGCAACCCAGCTGAAATGACGACCCTGCTCAGCAACCCTGACACTGGCACTGAACATTGCACTCGTTAGACACAAGCCTAGACCCTACCAAGCTGCAGAGTGCACACTGCCACTTCTGTAGTCTGCTGCATTTAGTACGGATAGGGTTTAGATTTTACAGTGACCTTGACAGAAATTAACCAGGCTTTGATCATTGGTCAGGTTTAATAGCAATGTTAGACATACTTGAATGATGTCATTGTTGAGAACTTATTTTTTGCTGTTGCTTCAGCAGACTATTTTATCACGCTGTCACAAAAATGATCCGAGAGTTGATGATTTCAGATTTAAGATAGTTTGACTTGAGCTTCATTTTCAACAAAATCCTACCAGGAAGGGGGTCGGGTTTGCGCTAATAATGGGAACGGGCTCAAACTAGTGGATTGCGTTGTCATAACCTCCCCTATCGGACAGAATTTCCTCTTGCAGTTAGACCGTTTTCTCCATTTTGTGACATGTCTGTGTAATTCAATGCTTGTCCAATCAGGTGTGTTGCTCTACGGCCCGCCTGGCTGCGGGAAGACCATGATCGCCAAGGCCATAGCCAAGGATGCTGGCTGTCGCTTTGTTAATCTCCAAGCGTCGAACCTCACCGACAAGTGGTACGGCGAATCACAGAAACTGGCCTCAGCTGTCTTTTCGCTGGTGAGGGAATCTTCACTGTTAAACCCTGTTCCCACATAAGACCTAGGTGTTTGGAATTTTGCTCAACCTTCCCCAATTTTACGCTCTCCATTACCAAATGAGACTTACTTTGAAGCTAATTGGGAACTTTTGCCCTATGTAAAACAGCAGTGGCTTGAGGTTGGTTTGGGAAGATTTTGCAGAAGATTGAGCCTGAGCATTTTTCTCTAAGTAACTTCAGATTTGGAGTCCCTTGAAAGCTGGGAGTGGTTTCTAACCATGCCACAAACTCCTCTTCCTTTGAAGGCAATCAAGTTGCAACCAGCCATCATCTTCATCGACGAGATTGACTCCTTCCTGAGGTCACGGGCCAGCCACGACCACGAGGCGACGGCTATGATGAAGGCGCAGTTCATGACCATGTGGGACGGGCTGATCACCGACAAAAACTGCGATGTGAGGCTCAGTCAGCGAGCCAATTCGGTATTCCAAACATTTCGGGTCATTCGAGAACAAAGCACCCGATGTCACGCCGTCTGCGACATGTTCAGTGCGCGTCGGTCGACGTATATGCAAAGCTGTTAGGGCCAACCTCAAAGATGTTCTCGAATGACACGCGGCACACTTTGTTTTGCGCATGCATGTTTGGAATACCGAACTGGCTTGCTAGGAATGATAGGATCGGTGTCATCGCTTGAAGCAACCCCAGAAATGAATGAAAAGTATAGTAGAGTGCCAGCAGGCGGTGTGAAATTACACATCTGCGTCTGTGCACTATTAACCTACAATTAACTCAAGAAAATAGTAATTGCAAACCGTTTTGGATACCACCTCTCTAAACAACACCTTTGTGTCAAGAAGCGTCACAATCCGGCAGAATAAATGCTTGCTCTCCATGAACCCATCAGCAACCATTGGGATGCATATCACCATGCAGTGCAGTTTTCAGACAAAATCGAACCATTCATAGACACGCACAGAGTATCTCACAAGGTGGGGTGTCGAGACACAAAGCTTAGAGACTTTTTTGTGTCTTGTCTTCCCCAGGTCATCTTAATGGGCGCCACAAACCGACCACGAGACGTAGACCCCGCAATTCTGCGCCGAATGCCCACCACCTTCCACATTGGTCTGCCTGTAAGTATCTGGCTATCTCCAGCCTTCTGGTTCTGTGTCCCCTGGCCCTGTGCACGTGCTGACCCTCGACTAGGGGAAAAATGCAAGCACTGAAACTAGGAAGGCGCTTCTTGGCACATTTGTACCCGAGGTACGCTTACATTTTGACACGCCGCAACACCTTATTGGTCAAAGAGGCATCTGACGTGAGCGTACCGCCTGCTCATGAGTGCGGTATCTCCACAGAAGTGGCGTCTAAATTTTTGTCGCCGGATTATTCCCTGCTGATCAGTGAGGGGTGTAGAATGCCCAGATTGCTGATGGTGCTTTCTGGACATGAAAGAATCCCTCTAACCATAGTCAGACTCTAGTGTTGCTGTTTTCAATTTTCAAGATCGTCCTTCACCGTCAAGAGGAGAGATGCCACCTATGATGTAACTTCCCATCGATCATTTGGTGTTGTCTCACGTTATTGCATAGCTATGTTGCTAGCAAAGTGTATCTTATCTTACCGAGGTTTGTTATTTAAAATGACTTGTGTATTAAGGTATGTTATTCAGGTTGTAATGCCACGTTTCTTGTCTATTTGCAGGGAAAGAGGGAACGTGAGAGTATATTAAAAATAATCCTCCGCTCAGAAAAAGTAGGTAAACCTTTCCTCTGCTGGCATATTGTTTATTTCTTTTAAATCTGGGAAAACTGCCTTGAAATAGTTTCTGCTTTTGTATATCTCTCTTGCTGAAGAAATCGGGAAATTCAGATGGATAGTGAGTAGGGAAAATGTGACCCGCTCTGTGACAATGAGTCATAAGTCTCCAGAGCCACTTTTTGAGTTTTCATTTGTACTGGAAAGAGCAAATTGAGTTTGTTTTTTTTTGATGTATCACTCAGTTTGGCATCCTGATGAAAGTGGAGACTCTTTTGGTGAAAATGCTGTGGGTTCCTTTTGATTTACACCGGGCAAAATTATTCTAAAGGACTTTTTACTCGAAAGTGGCTCTGGCGACTTGTGACTCATTTGCACAGAGTGGGTCACAAATATGCAGCCAGTGATTGCCTTTGGGACAAGAATAAATTCTTCACGGTGACTTTGATACCCTGCCCTGGTTCTCACTACGGTAGAGCACCACAAGTGCCCTGGTAAGCAAATCATAAGTTACAGTTGATGTTGACAGTCTTCCCAAAGACAAACGGAGCATGGCAGCAGTTGGAATGGAAACGTTTAAAATTGTTCAGAAAAGGATCAGGTGTGACAAGGTATCACTGCAGACTTCCCCCAACAACACCCATGAACAACTGACTTGCCTCCCAAGTAACAAAAGTATCAGTTATCTGCGTTATTTTCGGAACCTCTTGTATAGCTAGCAGACACTGTCAGTCTTTTGGAGGTAGCTGATCAGACAGACGGCTTCTCAGGGAGTGACTTGCGAGAGATGTGTCGCAACGCTTGCATCTACACAATGAGAGACTACATGAGGAACCAGCCAGCTGTCAACAGGTCAGGGTTCACTCAGAAAATTATGAAACCCCCCCCCAAGAAATCTCTCTCCACTTACTAAACCTCAGTGCCAGTTTTGGTTGCCTGAGTGCCTGGGGCTAATAACATGCAGAAGGTCAGTGAAACAAATCAGCGATATTTGCACATTTTTGTGCAGTCCTCTAAGTATCAGTCACGAGGAATGTACGTTACATAACATTTTGGCCGGGAGCTTGCCCGTATGCTAATTTTTATTTGCTTTTGAAAGGCATACTTTTGTCAACTCTGTGAAATTGGCTGGGCCGATTGGCAGAGCCCTGAGCTTGAAAATAAGACCACATTTCCTACTTCCATTGTGCATGTCTGTAGGTTATTTACATAATAAAGTGGTGTGCCTTGTGGTAGAGTGGCTTGCTCAAGAACACACCAATTGCAGTTACCCAGTGTTACGCCCCAAGTATCTTGAGCGCAACTCCCTGGACTTTGGATCGCACAGCACTACATAAGCATTGACTGGGATTCTCTACTTTCTCCCCTTAGCAACGAAGTGGAGGCCGACGACGGTGCTGAGGAGTCACTGCGTCCTGTCTCCATGGATGACCTCTTGACATCGCTGCAGAAGACGCGCGAGACCAAGCAGCTGCAGCCGGGAGCCGCCAACAACAGCGCCATTCCACTGGACTAGAGTAAGCATTGCCACTCCCCCTGGAAATCCATGCTTAGGCTTTAGATGGCAGAGGGAGGAGAGGCAGTTTTCTCACTCACCCTACCGCCTTGCCAAGGATCTGCCTCTCACTAAGATTAACTTAGTTGAAAGTGGCGCCCTTGCCAAGTTCTTTGTGGTTTCTGCTTGGAGACTTGCTGAGGCTGTTCCCACTTGCCACTCGAACTGACAATCTCTCAGTCCCATTCTGTCAGCATGAAAAGAGTGCAGTTGGTGTTTCGTGCCCAAAAGAATGGTCCATATATGTGGCCCCCTCTGCGAAAAGGAGTCTTAAGTCGCCAGAGCCACTTTGGAGTAAAAAGTCCTTTAGACTAATTTGGCACAGTGTAAATCAACAGGAACCCACAGCATTTTCAGCATGGAATATCCACTTTTGTCAGGATGCCAGACTGCGTGATACATCAAAACAAAAAGCTTTATTTGCTCTTTCGAATACAAATGAAAACTCAAAAAGTGGCTCTGGCAACTTAAGACTCCTTTTCGCAGAGTGGGCCACATATAGTCATGACACGTTCAAAGTGGACACAACACATACTGAGCAAGAAACCCCTTGGTAACATTTTTAAGTGATGAATATTTTTTAAAAATACAGTGTGTTGATTGAACATTGCAAACAACATGTAGTTCTTGTTCTGCGCAGGACAGCCTCAAAACGGTTTGGTTGTCATATTCGTCATACATGTGTAACCTTTACACGTATCCATTTTTAAAATCCAGACAAGATAAACCAGTCACTTGACGGGAGACTACTTTCATTTTATTTTTTAAAATCTTTGCGAGAAAATCATGAAACGGGGATCCGTCGTATAAGAGTTAAATGTTAATGAATATCACCACATCGAATGTGAAAAAGTGTGACGAGCTTCAAGTCTTGAGCAATAATTGCGGTGTGTGAATGCGCCTTGCACCTGCCTGTGAGCAGAGAAACTCTGTACTCAGATTTAATGCTGTGCTGTACGGCAGAATGTTGTTTAGGCGTACAGAGTCTGCCTTTACGTGAGGCATTAGTACAGTATGCCAAAAAAATTGAAAAAAAAATATTCTCAAGATGGCAAATTATTTCGTCAAATCAGCTCTTAGACAGTGTGTGTGTTACTTTTCAATCCCAGAAGGCATACTTTAGGTAGTTTTAAATACATTTTTCTCTACATGTTTTTATTACTCTTTTCAAAGTGTTCCACAACTTAAGCTCGTTCCCAGATCTGTCAAAATCTACCAAGAGTGTTTGTTGGAATCTGCAGGATTGAGAAAGGTGGAGCCGTGACACTATGTGAAACCCAGTGTCCTAGAATATTGATGTACATGTACACTGACTGCAGCACTTGCACACTGCACAGTGGAGAATTTCGGAGGATGCTGGAAAGGTTGCCAGAAGAAATGCCTTAGGGTCAGGCGTTGGGCAATGCACGCAGTGGTCACAGTAGCTTTAGTGAGAATGTCAGTGATGTAGTGTTCCTAGCATTTTGTTTTTCCTCTGACACAGTGCATTACATTGCGAAGATGTAAAAATGATATTTGCTTGTCAGTAGTACATACAAATGAAAACAGTAAGGGGAGGTGTTCTTTGCCTAAGGAATTGTTACAATTAAGGAGTTTTCCAGGAGGTGTTCAAATTTTAAGACTCCTCCCCTTTTGCCCATAAAGGATGTCGTTTGACAGTCAATAGTGTTCTGGTCTAGAGAGTGGATATAAAAATCTGCGCAAATCCACCGGAGATTCATTTGCTCCAACCCATTCCCTCCATCACGACTGCCATCTTCCCACTGTTGGACAGTATTCATAGCCCTAACAGTAGGGTTGAGTCAATTTGAATAATTCACTATTCGAATATTCGACCTACAATTCGATCGAATATCTGAATATTCATTCGTACCGACCAGCAGATTGTTGATGAACAATAAAGCAATAATGCACAAAATTGTACATTCTGATCACTGTAATAGCTTCTCAC